ATATATGCATGACTGTATAGTTTTCATCCGCTTCCTTCAATTAGAATTACGTAATAACTAATAACGTACGTAATATCATTAAACAATTTGTTTATGCAAATAAACAAAGTTTAGCGAATTAAATCAACTTGGTGTGCATTCCACTTTATGCATAATCTATCATTTTATCTTCGTTTAACATTCAGTAAATAACAAGGATAAAATGATATCAAAACGGAACGTATTCGCACCCTTGAATTGAATTCATACAGATGAAATAAATAAATAAGAAAATAATTTATAATAATTAAATCTATAATAATTAAAATTAATATAGATTTTTAATCGTTAATTAATATAAATTTTGTAGATAGTAGACATAAGACAGTTAAAACTAAAGAAAAACAAATATATTTAAAACATTCTTTAATCGCGAAAGCAGAGCGCGTTTTCTATTTCCCTCACTCCACTCGCGATCGTAATAGGCGGGTAAATTTACGTCGTTTACGATTGCCATGTGTAATCGCTAGGTTAGGTTAGGTTTCTTATAGTAGCCGATAACATCGTGTTGCTGATGCATGGCCAGAGGTACAAATTTGCACAAATAAACGCAACTCTGAAACAGTGACCGGCCAGCTGGTCAGACACGAGAGGATAGATAACGCCGGCGTGGCAGCTCGTCTGCACGTCGAGGTGCCGTAAGCGCGTGGTGAGGTTAAGCCATGGCGAAGTATCTGATACAGATCATCGTGATGGGCACGCAGGTCGTCGGCAAAGCGTTCGCGCGCGCGTTACGCCAGGAGATCGCGGCGAGCCAGGAAGCGGCGCGGCGGGCAGGCGGTGGCAGTCAGGGAGCACAACACATCGCCACCAACACTAGGACCGGTCTTACCTTAGAAGAGGCTCTACGCATCCTGAACGTGGAACGTCCTGATCAGACGGAGTTGATCCAGCGAAACTACAAATATCTTATGGAGGCTAATGACAAGTTGAAGGGCGGCTCATTTTATCTGCAGTCTAAGATTGTCCGTGCCAAGGAACGCATCGACGAGGAACTAAAAAATCAAAAGGGAACCGCAACTCCACCACCACCATCGCAAGAAGCTTCGAGCAATCGAGAAACTTCCAGGGAGCCATGAGATTTGTCCCTAGTCTAAATTTACTTATTCTAACTCTAGACAACTGTACATAATGTCATAATAAACAATAGATTCTGATATTGATTAGCATGGTTTCAAAGTATAGCATGTTTTTTTGTCCAACATAGAAAAATTTGTAAATATGTAATATGATCTTGGAAATGTTGATTTTAAAATGTATATTTTGAACGGGCACAATGTTTGAAACTTTTGTGAATAAAATATTAGTTTCTATATTAAGAGATATGATTTGTGAGTTTCATATTGCATCATGTTACATGAAGATAAATAAAAGTAGAATATAGCCATATATATGTATATATATTCGTAGGAGATATATTGATTGATATAACAGTCTTTGTGAAGAGAAGTTCTCGCTCTTATACGAGACTTTTCAGTTCTAATAATCAAATTCTAGCACTATTGAGTTAATCCGGCCGCCTTTGCATCATCCGCATCGATTCTATTTTGTGCCTGGCGTATGATCAACCGTTCTTGATTGTGGCGTACAGACCATAAACTTGGCAGGTACTTTGGTTTCATTGTGAAAAGAAAATGTTCTCTCCACATACGTTCCAACTCGACAAGTCCGCTTTCTTGCTTTTGAAAATGCTGTACCACCTGTCGAATAAAATTAAATTGAATAATACAAAGACTTCACACATTTGTCTCTTGACGATTTATTTTAAAATCATTACCTTTAAGCCATGTGGCTGATACTTGTTAGGTATCGGTTTCTGGATCAGTGCATTCTTTAGTTGCTCGTTCAGACCATTAAGCAGATCCGGCGTAATTTTCTGCTGTCCCGTATGCTCTAGTATATAATTTTCATACTCTTCGCGTTGTCGAGGAGGTAATGTGAACTTTTCTCTCAAGGCCTTAACAGCTGAATGCAACTTTCGGCGATTATGCAAAAAATTGTCTCGTACGTGTGTCATTGGCCCAATTAACGGTGCATCACACATGTCTGCTAACTTTCTTCTGAGTTGCAGATCATGATTATTGCTGATTTCATGACACGAAGGACATAATAATAATACATCATGAGATTGATGTGCCTTCATTACCACTGAAAAGAATGTTCATTTTGATAAGTACATAGTATAGAGAAGAACATGTGTATAGAGAAGAATTATATTCTTATATTTATTAGATTGGCATGTTATTCATTAATCAATATAAATATTATTTTTAATATTATATAATGCGATAAAAAACGCTTACATGGGAAATACTTTCGATATTCTCGTGGCACAACATTTTTTCTAATAAATTTCTCAGTGCATCCACAGACTACACATTGATTGAGTTTCACCTGTGTATAATATTGTCCAACTTCTCCCAATGCTCGGCCAGATGGCTCAAAATTTAATCTGACTGTATATGGATCTGTCTCCACAAGTTTTCCTAAATTTTTCGTAATATACCATTCTGCTTTCTTGCGATCGCATGTACACAATATATCTCCATCAGGTGCTTGTAAATAACAATTATGATATAATGGTTTAATTCTAGTAGGTATCGCATTTTTACGATCGTTAATAGTGTTTTTATCTACTACTACTGATTTATTCTTAGCATTTAAAACATTATTAGTAATACTGTCCGCACTTGGTGATCGCTGACTCTTGAACCTTAAACAAATGTATATTTATATATACTTTTCTCTCTCTTTTTCTCATATGTATAATTTTAAATAATTTATATTAATTCATAAATTTTTATACCTCATATCGACTGTTCTAGCAGGTACACCATGAATCCGCACATTGATATCACTACTCAATATATTATATAAGTAAATTCCTACTCTCTGCCATAATGTATATTTTTCTTTTTCTTTTTGCATTATCTGAAACAAAATTGGATATGAGAAACATAATTTAATAGTCACAATAATCATGTACAAAAAAATATTTAAAAATTCCTACCTTATGATAAACGATAACAGATGCAAGCGCATCACAAGCGGCATACGCAACTTGTTCGTCGGTTAAGGTGCTAGCGTCCCAGTTACCGCACCTAACTTCTATTATTTTGTCCATCTCTATATTAAGATATTCTAAACACATGGCGGCTAAGCTCTTCCGGCTCGGTAGATTAAAATTTTCAGCTAAGGTTCTTAAATCAAGAGTTCCATTAACTCTACATCCATAATCCTTTACAATCTTATGTCCATCTTCAAACGAAGAGATCCCGACTTTAAGGATGTGTTTACTAGCTAACAATTCCTTAACACATAAACATAATTACAAATCAATATTATGCATAATAATTAGTCAAGCTTGAACTTTTGTGAAATGTACCTTAAGTTTAGGTGGAATGTATCCAATCTTTCCAATGCGAAACAAAGCAACTACTCCATTGTAAGTAGCTAATTGTAACAGAGAGACAGGTCCTTCTTTGACCCATTCGCAATCGAAACCCAGTACACCATCAGACAGATCACTATCAAAGAAACATATATAACAAATTAATTTTGTTTCATAAGACATCATAAATAATGTTACTATTCCTTCTAGAGATCATGTTTCATCAAACAGATTTGAGAAAAGCAATTAACATAGAAGTAGGACAAGTGTATTGTATTATAAATACAATAAAAGGAAATTAAAGAAGAAATTAATCTTATCCCTTGGAATTAATAATAAAATTTATTTTATTATTAATTACAAGGGATAAGATTATTTTATTAAAGATTATTTTATTAAAGAAAGAAAATTCTCTTTGAGAAAAACAGTCAACATAAAAATAGTGTAAATTTATATTATAAGAGAAAACTAAAAAAAATTCATTTTATTCTTTGTAATTAATAAATAACAAAATTTATTTTACTGCAAAAGAAGTCTGTTATAAATTAGAAATTAAAATAAATTTTCTTTCGTATAACGATCGCTAATTGTGCCAGTTATTGTTATAGGAAATCCAGATCTTTCTCGGAGAATCCCAAGGACACTTTATACTTATTGCCTTCCAAACACAATAATCTTGGTATTTGACTCTCTCCAGAAAAAAATGTAAACAATAATTATGAAAACGGCCGTTTCCATTATGGAAAGTCATGAGATATAGCAGTCTGTTATAACGTTTTAGGATGTGATTGTAAGAATATTGTTGAGAAATTAGAAAATGCTTAAAATTAACAATATTAAATTTCGATTTTCGCTTACCAACGAATACGCTGTACGGCGTAATCGCATTTTTCCGGAGAGTCGGCCAGAATAATCTTGTCTAATATAAGCTTATTCTCTTTGTTGTCATTATCCTCATTATTATTATTATCAGTATCATGCTTATCGCACTTGGCTGTATTATCAATATCCTTCTTGCCATCGCGATTTTTAATATTTTTATACAAATGCTTGACGCTGCGAAGTACGTTGTTACGATACTTCGACGCCAAAAAGACAAGTCCCACGGTCACGCAAACGAGAAACATGTTGTTACGTGCGGGAACCATTAATCAAAGAGGAGAAAAGACGCTTGAAACGCGCAAAAAATTCGATTTAAAAAATCAACGTTATATATACAATTTCTTCGTTATCGATACATATATAGATATATACACGTACGTGAGTTACACGTTATGTTACAATTCTAAATAAAATGTCAATGCAAAACAATCACTCGTCGAGCAATTGGATTATAGCACAATTGTAACGATTAAGGCAACTCAGCACATCAATCGATCACAGTGATAAACTCTCTCTCTGTCTCTCTCTCTCTCTCTCTCTCTCTCTCTCTCTCTCTCTCTCTCTCGAAGATTCGTCTCAAAAGCATTAATATTAATATAAAACTGACGCAGCTCGGCGATCGCGCGAAATCATTCGATTAGATAAATCTACGATTATCTGAAATCACGGTCGCCCCTCGAATCTGCTCCATATAAAATAATCATCTCGGTGACCAGCTCCGATCTCATTGAAATTTAACGCGAAACGAGGTTCAAGGGACCCCGTAGCTTTTGAAGAACGACCGGCGTACGCGGCTACGGGTTTCACGCACGACTAACTTGGACTAACTGCAACTAACGGAAACGACTCCCGATTAACTACTACGTAACCTACGTTATCTGCCTGCCGCCTGCCGTCCGGTAAATAGATCATGCCGGTATTGTTATTATGGCTCCTGCACACAAAACGCGGTAACTAGCAGCAACGCTTGACGCGATAGCCAATCAATGGCTACGTTCCGTTTCACGCATGATGCTTCGCGCATTATTTATCTGCATTGTTTGTATTCATCGAATGTTAAACAAAGATAAATGATACATCATGCATACCATGCGTGAAATGGAACGCAATCAATTGCCTATTTCATTTATAGGCCGGTATTCATAGCCTAGGTAGATCTTATATTTAAGATCGTCTTAAGTACGGTCTTAAGAAGTCACGAACCAATCAGAAGACTGCATTAGTATCTTAAGACATTACTCAAGACAATCTTGAAATAAGACTCGATTATGAATACCAGCCATAGTCAGAGCTTGTACTAGATAAATTTAAGGCTTCCTTAAATTTATCTTTAGATGATCAGCAGTCAATGAAATAATTCATACAGTACCTGAAGATAAATTTAAGGAAGGCCTGATTATGAATACGGGCAAATGTCTTGCTTGCTAAAAAGTAATAAATATATAATTTCCACCGCGCGACAAAAGTCGAACTCAATCCAACTTTTGCCACGTGGCGGAAGTAATATTACATCATTTCTAGAAGTTTTGCATGATGAGATCGATTTAAAAATCTATTCCCCTTATTTATAGTCAGACCTTGTACTAAGGTCCTTAAATTTATCTTTAACTCAGCAGCTAATGAAATAATTCGTGGAGTATCTAAAGATAAATTTAAGGAAACCTTAAATATAAGGCCTGACTATGAATACGAATAATAGAATTATTGATTAGTGTGATAACTTCCGCCACAGTATATACAGTAACGCAACTCTCCTGATTTTATGTTAGCCAAAATAGAGTGCAAGAAATAAATAAATTTCCTCTTTTTTTTATTGTTCTCTCTCTCTCTCTCTCTCTCTCTCTCTCTATTTAAGTAAGCATTTCAATATTCCACTTAAACATTTATCTTTCAAGCATACATGATTCAGATTAGAAATGTAGAGGGAAGTATTATGTGTATTGTCTATTTAGAAATATTGTGTGAGAAATCTTGAGAGATTGGTCTAATTTTTGTAAAAAAGTGATAAAGTGAAAAAGTAATCGTAAGTAAGTAGAAAACCGAGCAAGAAAG